CGGGATTGAAAATATTCGAGCATTGTGCTAACTTTACTATCATCTGCCATTCGTAGACTCTTTCCTCAAATCAGATTTAATTGTCAAACTAACCTGAAATTGAAGCTTTGGTTATAATTGACATTTTGTTTATAAACGATGTAGATTCTTCCAAAATGGAAACATTCTGGGGTTGCTCAAGCTTTTTCTTCAATTCTTTTAACAACACTCTCAATTTGTTTAAATGAATCTCATTGAAATCATCATCATCTCGCATTTTTCTCAAGTCAGTAATGAATTGATTTAATTTCTTCTTTATTTCAACGATATTATCATCTGTCGATTTAATTAATCTTTGTCTGCAGTCTTCTGCTGTTTGCTTAATTTTCATGATTGACTCGTGTTCCCATTCATTCACTTGTTTTATTAATGAACAATGATTTAGATCTTCTTCTTGTTCACTCATATTTTGTTGGAATGTATCAGAATCAGTGACAATTTTTTCTAGTTCTAATACATGTTCTTGATGATGTTTTGCTAAATCTTGCGAACAAAATTTTTCTGAGCAACCGTCGCATAAGTATAAGTTGAATCTCTCTTTTTTACATATAAAGCATTGTTTGGAATTTATCGCTGCAGTTGCCATGTCTTGAATATACTAATGTTGATAGGTGTATTTTTGAGACTGTCAACGAGGAGTTTGAAAAAAAGTGAATTTTTCTTATGATTTCATGCACATATATGCAAAAAAAGCAACATGAGTCAAGCTCGATAAACATCAGTGGGAAATAAGCGAATGAAAAAAATATTTTTCTGCATAGGAGTCACACTTTATCTTTTTTTGCTTTATAATAGAGAATAAATCTAAATAAAATCTTTATCTTTATAACATTAAAATGACTACATCTTTATGATACGTAGCTTGCAAAAATATATGAAACCACCCCAAGTCACTCGGTCCTGCCTCCTGGTCCTGCCGGGGCCCACCGTAACCGGCACCGAATCACTCTAAAAGCTGGCATGTTTTCCACTAAAATCTGCCAGGATCCGACAGGGACTTCGCCGGAATCTCTGCTCCCGGAACCCGGGCCGGAATTCAAAGGAAAATGGTTCGATCGTTTCCTGCCGGATAATACAACCGAACATTGTCGAGACCGATCAACCCCGACTACCGGATGATTCCGGGTTCATAAGGACTTCACCATATCTTTGACCGGATTCCATCAGATTCCGATGACAAGGACCTCATAAAAAATCTCTCATACAAGCATTCTTCAATCAGAAGATGAATCAACCGTAGTCTTCCAAAAACGCACACCGACCAACACAACTACTCAGAAAGAAAAAAAGGTGTCATACTGAGCCTTCTAGGGTTCTAGATTTGGGTACCATTTTCAGAACCATTTAAGGTTCAAGCAAAATCTGATTCTAACTGGAACTTTTTTCTATTTCTTCCAAAAATGATTCTATAGTAGTAAAATGTAGTCCACCACACTCAATTAGTCTAGTACACTAGACTAATGTTTTATCCAACCGTTAATTTCATGCTTAATTCCTTATTCCTAACCTTAACCCTTAACCCTTACTTCTATCTTTAACCACTGTTTCTATCCTTAACCTAAATTCTATCGCTAAATTCTATTATAACTTACCATAGAATTGATTATTAAGATGCACCTACCCATATCCATCAATCCGACTCAGATCCTCAGGCTCGGTATCGGGGATGCCGGATTCTAATTCCTGGATCTCGATAACTTATTTCAAACTTCGATCAAAATTGAGATCGGAGTTGAAATAAAATGTCTAGTTTTGCAGTCCTCGATTTTTTGATGGACCCAATTTCTGACCATTGGGAGCTCGATTGAAAAAATGATAATGGATTCGGAATCCTCGATCCCGGTAGCCTATTTGAGATTTATATTACTGAAAAGCACGTTCCACAAATATATTATCTTGCTTCAAGCCAGAGTCATCTTTGGAAAAATGGTTCAGCATTAAAAAAATGGTGCAAGACGGAACCTTTTCAAACATCCGGAACTATTGAGGATCTGAGATAGTTCTTTAAACTGGCTAGAACCCTCGATGGTTTATTAATGAGCGAGTGAAACCTTAAAAGGTTCAATATCTTGGTTAGAACCATAAATGGTTCCATATGACACCTTATTTTTTTTCAGAGTATCATGAAATCGAGCGTAATGCGGCACGGCGGATTCTGGTAAAGTTTTGTTACCGGATATTGTCGGATCACGTCGTATACAGCCCAATCGTATGATCTGACCTGATATTTTCCGGCAATGTAAATCTGGTAACTAGATTTCAAAAGAAAACAATCGGAATTCACCAGAAATTAACCAACCGAATCCGGTCACCATATGATATCGGAAGTATAACCCGTCCGATAAGATCCGACTGATCGATAATGACCTACACTGTAAAAAAAATCGTAGAATACTAAACCCTAGTACTAAAAAATGTTTCATAAACCCTTAAAGGGTTTATGTTTTTGTCCGAAACTTTAAAACCGTTTATTGCCTGAAACGTTTATGAAACTAAGGGTATTTGAAAATAAAAAGGGTTTATTGCACTAGAATTTAAGGAGAAGGGTTTGTGAATCTACGATGAAGGGTTTATTGTTGGATCCTTGTATTCAAAGGGTTTATTATTGTACCCTTTCATAAAATAGTTTTTTCCGCTAAAAATTGAAATCAGAGAAGTCTTAAATATATATCATAATGATTTGTGATTAGATAGGAAATTGTATAATTGAAACAAAAATTAATGAAAAACAGAATAACTTTAGCTCTCTCTATGTTGCAATAGTTTGCAATCTCACATTAAAAGATTATCATTCTCCATTAATTAGATCAGCCTGAAAAACAAAATAAAACTTTGATCTATGTAGGTGAGGCTTCTATAAAAAAAAGAGACGTAAGTATTTATTCATAAATCTTGAAGAAGATCATTAGTAAGTTAAAAAATTCTATACAATTATTATTTTTTGAATCAACCGCTCTTGATTTAGCTTCTTCCAAGCGATTCGACCAAATGCAAGCATTACTTTTTATATATGCTTATTGTTTTTTTTTCAGTCTTTTAGTTGGCTAGAAAAGAAAATTGAAAATCGTAGGTAAATACAATTGTTTTTATTAAAATTATTGTTCTTAATCTTTTAGTTCAATTTCACATTGAAAATTCTAGATAAGTAAAATCTTTGTATTTTAATTATTATTTTTCTTTTCTCTAAGTCAATTTTAAATTCAAAATCAAACGTAAGTATAATTTTTCACTAAACATTTCTTATTTTTATTGTTTTAGTTCAAAATTCGAAATTTTCTTTCAATAGTTATTAGGTTTATTCTTTTAGTGAAAAAGCAGATTCAAAATTATAGGTAATTATTATTTAAAAAAATAGTGTTTTTAATTTTTCTCAAATAGATTTGCGTCAATGGCTCATCAAACTGAACATGATTCTTGACTAAAATTAAGGTTCCCGAAACCCGTTAGAAGGATATTTGAAAGGGTTTATTATTCTACGTTTTTTTACAGTGTGAGTAGTGAACTAAAACTGCTCAAAGTATCAAATTATAACAGATTAGATCATGAATCATTTTGTTTTCCAAATCTGAAACCATTTTAATACTATTGAAGCAGCCTTATGTTATATATACGTTCTTCAACTGTTTTCGCTTTCAACTACACTTCGACATTATTCAAGAGGTAAGCATGAATTCAATAATAAAAAAATTATTTATTCATTGTCTTTTGTTTTAGATTCTTATCGATATGACCAAGATGATACGTTATGGGATAGATAGCTATATACAGTGGTGTGCAAAAATAATTGCCGTTAGTATTTGATAAAGCTGCTCTACTGAACATGATGAATATTAAAAGTTTTTTTTTATAAATAGATTATACATACACAAGAGTACACAAATATAATAATCGATAGTTAGTTTTTTTTCCTTCCGTCAAAAAAAGCAGCAAATCACTATAGCTTCATCGATACACTCAAATAGCTTAAGATCACTTTGCCTATGTACATGGATTATGTGCTAGCCTAAAATGTGTGTTTGGAGAAGAGTGGAAGAATCTATAAACCTCCTTTTGGATCAAGATTCAGTAGCCGGAGTTTCAGCTCGATACGATGTTTTTTCGATTTTTAAAGCGGAACAGAAATGCAACACAACTTTCTCAAATTTTGACCTCTATTTGACGCTGAAGATGAATTTTCAGAATTTGTTCACGTGGGGTAAAATTTTATTTACAAGCCGATATCTGTCTACTATCAAAATTTCAAGTCGGTCAGACAAGTCATTGATTGCCCTAGTCGTGGTAGTGTAATATGACTGTTTGACATTCTAGAAAAGCGGTAGATACTCGAATCAGGATGTCTCTCGCTCTGATTAAAATCTGTAGCACGTCCTTAATTACTGATAGAAGTTTCAGAACAATCCGTTCATGCGCTTCATATATATGACTCGAAAAAAATGCGTAGGTGCAACGGCAATTTGTTTTGCACTTTACTGTGTACGAGTGTTGATGAAAGTTAAGGATTAAGATTATGGGGTTTTCACAGTAAAATTGAATGAGACTTTTTTCTAAATTTGGTCATCCTAAGATGCAATAAAGCCAATAAAAGAGATAATCGAATATAAACGAACAAGAACATAGCTCATGTCATAATACTCCAGAGACAAAGAACGACTATGACGACTAATGATATAAAATGTTCTTATCTCTTTCACTTCATAATATTTTGACACTGAAATTTGTTTTTGGGTGATCTATTATTAGTGAGAAACTAGAGGGTAGGAGCATAAATCAAACCAAGGCTTTCATGCCCATACTCATACATTAGTCTCTGAACGGCGTAGGAAATATGAATTTTCAAGGAAACACTTGTGCACACGCCGAGAGGAGTTATTTCGATGATAACAAATGTATGAAAGAAAAGCTGTGTAGAATTAATTTTTTTTCATATGATTTATATTGATGATATTTTTGATTTGGTATACATTTATTTAAAAACTTCTTTATATTTATCAAAACGTACAAATACAAAGTTTAAACATGATTTTCAACGATATGCGTACGTCTTGGTCTTGATCTCGGTCTTCTATTTATTGGTTGGCGTCGATTTGATGGAGATATTAATCGTTGCTGTTGTTGCCGTCTTATTCTTGGTACGTGCAACGAATGATTCGATACTGATTCTAAAATAGTAATATCATCGTTATTAGCAATATTCCATGTAGTAACTGTTGCCACCGGTTGACTAGGTGGTTGACGTGAGCGTCTTAAACGATTTCCCATTGTTGCTGAAGTTGATGTTGAAGAATTAAGGCCAGGATTCATATTAAATAAACACAAAAACTGATTGAAAGGCCATCTTAACAAGAATTGTCGAGCAGCTGATGAGTAGCGTGTATCGAAACCAAAAATAATTAATGGGTCGAGAAGAATATTTAAAGATTTCGTTACTTGCATCGCGTCTTTAAGCGGATGATTTTTTGTATAAAACATTATCATTTCAGCAGGTAACCAAAAGACAGCAAAATTAAGAAATAAAAACAGAATTTGTGATATAAGATTTTTTCTTATATGTATGTGTCGTCTAAATACTCGGTTAAAACGTCTTTGCATACGTATTAAATCAACATAAATTCTTATATAACAAGCCAATGAGATTGATATTGGCAAAAGAAATATATTACCTATAAAGAGAAACATTATATCAAAGCAGTATTGAATCTCAATCTGATAAAAAAAACTTCAAAGTAGTCAGAATAAAGTTTCTAGCGCAATCTTTGATGCAATTACTTCTTCGTATTCGAGGGGAAAAATCTAGGTCTATGTATCTTCTTTACGATCCTTTTACATTACCCGTTCGAAAATGAAACAAGGATCCTATTATCATGAGTGAAGAGAGTGGAGATGGCTACACATTTTTAGCAATAATCCAAGGCTAGAAATATAAACTACAACCTATTAGCTTAGTACTGAGAGGTGGGTAATTTGTTTTTAAGGTAGTTGGCATGGATGACAGATTATATGTATAATCGATAGCCATTATCTAAGTATATCATTTGATGATTGCTGATCGTATCTCACTGCTGAATTCGATGGAATCTACACCAGAGCTCTGGCCGACATCTAATATTACCATCAGGTTATAGATGTGACTGAACTAATTAAATATGATTGGATCGGTGGATTCATTCGCATAGGTATATGATTTGAGTTTAGGTGTGAGAGTTAGTCGATTCCTAATCAATACTGAGAGAAAAATTGAAAAATGATCTGATCAACATAGAATTACATTTTTTGTTTTGAAAACTTCGTAAGATAATGTTTCCTATGTAACCAAATATAGTAGTTTATATCAATGAAATGGACTATAAGACTTTTTATGAATTAAAATATCTATGAAACAAAAGTAATTTCTGTGTTCTAATATCGAATTTCTCTCGCTAATAATTTTCGATTCAAAATATATTTTTTTATATTTTTTTTTGTTTTTTTACCAAGTCTATAAAATATATATACAGCTTCAACACTTGATTCATATGTATAAGAAATTTGACATTGATTTGTTGTTTCATGTTGAGTTACTTTTAAAATCTTAAAATATGCTAATAAAAAAGTTGGAATAATCGATGTTAGAATTGGTAGGATCCATAGTGCAATCATTAACAAAATACTTCTCATATTTGATCGTGCTACTTGACTATTCAAATTAACAAAATGACGACGACGATAAATAGATATAGCCGTCAAACTATATGCCATAAGTACAGTTAAATATAATGGAACATAAACTTGCAATTGACAATAAAAACGACCGACAAACGATTTTAGTCGTAATTGACCTGTTGTATGTACAACAACATAAGCAAGCTCATTTAAAAGATTAAGAAAATCAACAAGTAAATAATTCGATGTCCATATAAGACTGCGCAGGCGTTGTCGACGTCGTTGACTACGACTACGTGAGCCACCACCAGATATAGCAGTATTTCTACTTATACGTGATACAGTTAATCGAATAAAAAGTATAAAGACAATTGCATATAATGGTAATGCTAAACTTAATATAGCTAATTCACCATAACGTAAATCACGATGAAATTGGGATTTTAAAATAAAATATTTGTTTAATAATGACGACGATGATGATGTTGTTGTTGTTGCCACTGATTGTCTCAGGAAAGGGTAGGTTCGTGTTCCATTAAATAAACGAAACAGTATACTCGTGCTTGTTTTTATTGTTGATGTTTTCGTAGTTATTGTCGTTACTGTACTATTAATTATTTCGCTGGCATTGATTCCTTCGATAATTATTGATGTTAGATTTGTATCGCGAGTATTCAATGATGTATTCATATCATTTCTAACGTGAAAAAAAGAACATTGATTTTATACATTAAACATTCTTAATAGAAAAAAACAAAGAATAAGTAGAGAACGAAAAATTTGATTCTTCTTCGACGACCAGGAACCACAATGATAAGTGTTTTTACTCTTTAGTATGCGGGTGTTCTTGTAACTCATCCTTGTTTAATAGGAAAAGAAACAGCCACGCATCCAATTTTATTCGTTCCTTCAAAGATGTTGAAATTGAAACAAAAGCGTAGTTTACCTCTTCTCTAATTTTATTACGTCAGGATACTGGTCTGTATATGTTCTTAAAATAGTAACATGTGAACCTTGAAACAGACAAGAAGGACAGATCATTTGTTGACTAGATTTTCATTGCAAACAACTATAAAAAAAATATTGTAGTATTTTAATTGCTTTTGCAAAATGATAATAAAATTCAATGATTTAGGATCTATTGAGAGATCGAGACTGCCAGTCGTTTGCGGACTCTTTCAACAAGAGATCATTTTCAAATTTTGAAACTTTCAGAACACTGTTGAAAATGATTCGAGGAATAGTTTTTTGAAATAGAAATAAATTCTCACAATGGACAATATGACTCGTATATGTGAATCAAATTTCAGTTCGATCTTTTTTTTATTATGTTAAAGAAACTTTAGTATCATAGTTCTGTCTCTTGTTATCACATTTGATTTTGAGAACGATTCTCAAAACAAACTCGAATTTTGATTCTTTTCTGAATATTTAGAAAGTATATTTTTTTCTATTCTCAGTTTTATTTTGGCAAAAGAAGGAAGAACAGATGAACAACGTTCGAAAGACGTAATCAGATAATAAATGACTTATGAAAGAATGATATGCATACAGCACTATTTGTTGAATTTAGCCATATCGGTCATGTCTCGACATTCAACTCTGCCATAATCGTAGACGAAAAGCGAAAGCAATTAAATGACAAGTCAAGGTTAAAAAATATTTCGAAAAAAGACAAAAATCTACGTTTTTTTCTTTTGATAGAGAGAATCTTGGAGGTCGTTCGTTTCGAGATAACGGCACTGTCACAAGAAGAGTTTTTGTTGATCAATAGAGAAAACGTCAAATATTTTTATTTTATTTAGACACGAACATTCGGAAATGAAGTTAACGTGACTACTCACGTTGGTTAAAAGTACTTGTTCGTACTATTGATGTTAGATATGTTTGAAATTAAATCTACTAAGAATTTGATTCAAAAACAGAAAATCACCCGAAAAACTATCACTTTTGTAAAAATATAGGATTTTCGATAAAAAATGGCAAAAAGAGAGGACGTTTTATACACCCTTTCTGTTCAATTGTTTTGTTGTTTTTTAACCGCTCTGCTCGACAATCGTTTTAATAAAACTGTTATACACAGTTCAACCGTAGTGAAGATCCTTGTGTAATTTTTTATACTGAAATAAGTCGCTAATTCGAAATAAGCTTTGAGAAAACAAATACATGAAAAAGTCAAATACTATTTCTCATAATTAAAGGAGACGTTTCAGATTATGGGCATGACTTCCGAAAAAATCTCTGCCTAATTTTATTCTCCTGATAATTAGCATTCATCGCTTATTATTTTCCACAAGTTTATTTTGTATTTTATCATAACTCAATGTTTTCTGGTAATAAATAAGTGTAAATGAAAATGCACATACACAGGATGACGAAAATGTCACTATAATACAAAAATTTACCCAAAACACATGATTATACACATTAAAAGTTTTTTTTTCGTCCAAAGGCAACACAAAATTAAGAGGTTTTTTGGAAATTTTCCTCTTTTTTCGATAAAATATAGGAAAAATAGGACAACAATAGGACTTTTTTGAAACTATAGGAATTATAGGACATATAGATTGAATCGCAGCCCAGCATGCTTGTAGTTAGTCTTAGATCAAAACATAGTATTGCTCACATGTTATAGTAACAAAAAACTGAGCACATCAAGTTTTTCATGGATCAAAATCATCCGAACACCACACGAGATGAAATTTTCGGATGCAAAATTAGACTTTCCTTTTACAACACAATTAGTATCTAGTTGGATAAAATTTCATCCTAATAATCTCATGTAATAGGTTTCGAAACAAGTCAGTCAAAAATTTCGAATTTTGCAACCTCAATTTTCTTTTGTTAAACTTCATCCACTTGGACTGTTTCTACAGAATAGTCCTTCCTCAAGAAGAAAAGCGAGTTCTAGAACTCTTCTTCGTCTAGAAATCCAGTGCCTACTTGCGTGAGGATACATTCTTTTTTTTTCTCAAGAATACCAGTTTGGACAGATAATTGAAACTACGACTATCATTCCCATTGTATTCATACTGGTAGATGAATTATATTATTTATAAAACTTATCTTATGTAAGTAGGGCTTCATGTAAATAACTGACCCGTATTTATAGAAGCTACATACATCGTAAGATACACAATGTCTGCCTATGTGAATTTCCAAAAAATATTCTAGGAATTCTCATACGAATTTAGCGATGAATTTCTACTTTTTTTTTTGAAAATATAGCATTGCAATCAAAATTCTTTAAGCCTTTTGATATTGTTACCTCCGTAATTGCAAAACTTTGTTTGATTAGTCATTCTCCTCTTTTTATCTCTTCGATTAAAACAACGAGTATACGTAATGACGACACAAGTGTCATATTCTAAATAGTAAAGAACAGTGAATATGTATGCAAAATATTATCTGATAATTATCACATGATTTTATTCTATCTATCTTACTTCATGTTTATCTAACGAAACTCATCTCATATATCATTGCTGTTATTACTTGTTGATTCAAAACATATTTATATGTTCATTGAAACGATAGATATTTAAAAGAAAAATAGATTGCTAGGAAACTGAGTAATATTTAATCCTGGTCTCGATAATGAAAATTAGTCATAGGCAGAATGCTATCGATTTCAAGAGAAATAATGATTAATATCACACAATACTAATTTAGCCATTTTTTGTAATAGAATGTTTCATTGAACCATAACTACGTCACGTTTGTCATATCCATATCCAATCATTGATGATGTCCAATTCAATCTCTTTTGCTGTAAAATAATTGAATATTCAACAATGAAAAAAGTCAAATAATTGAAATGAATGTATGATCAAGTCCAAAAATACATATTATTCACAACAAAACTCTCTTTTGTTAGTTGTTATCAACACAGGTGTTTTAAAAAACAATCAAACAAAAATCTTACTACTGTTCCATTCTAATACACTTACATATATATGTAAAAATTTACATTGACTTAAATTTAGTTGCATTTATAAACAATTTCAAAATAACGAAAGACAATTTATAGATTTTTTTTCATGTGACGCAAAAATCGGAAATAAGATATTCTTAATAAACCACCACATATTCTGGAATCGAAACACATCATGGTTGGAAACTATTTCTACTAAGTATTGTCACTCTCAATAACTACTGCTCGATTGAATTCTGCATTCAATTCTGCTAAATCATTTCGTGTACGAATTTCTGCATTAACTGCTTGACTGATTCGTTGCATTCGCAGAGAAACACTAATGAGATTCGAAAATATACGAATTGCTTCCATATCACCGTGACGATGGCATAAATACTTCCATAGTAGTATGACGTATGAATGTTGAATATACACTATTGCTTTCCTTCGATTTTCGCTTATTTCAGGTAGCGTGTTCTGATAATAGCAATGAAGTGGTGTTGAAAAAAATAGTATAAGAAGCCAAAGACGTGTTACAATAGAATCCGTGATTAAAATTTGTACAGCTCGAGTTTTTGTTTGGACAAACTCAGGAAATAAATTAGTTCCACATACATACTCTGCTGAAAGACTATCACAGGCTAACTAAAAAACCAAAACAAAAGCGTTTGGTATTATGATTTCAAAAACAAATTTCTTGTTTACCTGCCACGGCTCGGAATAACATAATTGTTCAAGTTCATGCAGATTAAGTAGAATCAATGGACGAATATTATGTCTGCATAAAAACGTTCGTTCTGACAGTGAAAGCGTTTGAACCGGTGGAATCGACGAAAGAAATGTTCGAAATGATGTGATATTATTAACTGTCGTCGAAGCATGATACTTAATCTTCACATTTGGATCTTCAGGGATTTGCATTTGAGCAGTGAACATATTTGCACGATGTTGAATATAATTTTTAAGACAATAAGTTTCATAAGCGCCAACTACATTGGATAGATGTGTCCAATCTGCTTCAAACAGATCACTTTTCTTTACGATGGGCTAACGAAGAAAAATAGAAAGGCTGTGTCAGAGGACGAGAGCGTCTATATATAATGTTAGATTCCTATGGATGGTACTTAATTTCAGGAGCAAGAGAAAAAGAAAAGTTTGCAAAATTGATAAAATGCATAAATAATTTCGAGCTAATATATAACAATCACGGGTCAATGTAATTACTCAAATTCTAAGGAATTTACAGTCTGTTATACGGTTCCATTTCGAACCAATGTTCTAACACGACATAAACTGATCAGTTTAATAGGAAATAAATAATATCTGACATATTCTGAAGTAAGTTTATGACAGCGAATTTCGTATATTATATTTATCACAGATTTTATCTAAGATAACTTCATCTTCGTTTCGTTTCAGTGAGAATCATATTTTGTTTTTTGATTTTACATACCGAACACTATCCAATTATGAGATACAATCAAAAAAGTAAATACAAAGTAAATTTTGAAAGTGAAGTCATATGACATAGACTTTGAACAGCTGGAAAGTCAAACATCTGAGCTTATGCATAGTTTATGCAGAAATTATTAATTTTATTTGAGCTGTCTTAGTAATCAAAATAATCATTCGAGCTGCATATGACCGACCTCTTTAACAAATAGAACAGAGTCCTCTGCTATGAGAATTAAATATTGACTACAGTATAGTTATTTATAACTTCCATTAATTGTAATATTATATAGACTGAAAACTGTGCATGTCAATAGTGTTGTTATAGATCGATGGAAAACTAGGTGAAAACAAAAGAAATTTTTTAAATACTATACAACAAAACCGACTTGAATCATAGTAACGAGCAGCAGTGTCAAAATGTATGCGCGTTTCTTTCTTCTCATAGTTGAATTTTTATCTTGAAGGTAAACTTGCAAATAAACTCTAGATTGACAAAGCATTTTTTTCTAGCTATGAAAGACGAAAACGAGCGAGAAAATATTACACTGTAATATTGATATTCGTATCGGATAACAAAGACTCTTAATATTCAATATTTAGCATGCAATCGAAATGTTCGAAGGATCATCTTACATAACAAGTGACTCAAACAGAATTCTTGCGTTTAGCTGATGAGATTATTTATCCGAGAACAATGTTCACACGATGAAAAAGATGATTATTCAATATAGTAAAACTAATAATCATACCTTGGGAATCGTGTAGACATTTTCTGGTTGGTCTTGCGGTGTAACTTGTTCACGACGTCGTCTATTAGCTTGTACAAGTTGTCTATACCGCTCATTTTCTTCATCTGTTCGAACCAAATCTTCTTTCATACCCATATCAAAACAACGACGTAGCCTGCACGATGAACAATAACGTACTTGCGAACAATAATCTGTTGTTGCATTATTATCATTATTTGTTACATTTGAAGTAGGCGCATCTCGGAACGGGCAAGGCATTTGCAGAATCTAAGTTTAATATTTATTCTTTCAAATTAAATGTTTATTTTCAACGTGTCTTACTTCTTTTCGTCGAGCATTTCGACGAAAAAAAGCTAGAATGAAAATATTAGAATAATATTTAATTTAAGTTTTAGAAAATGTGAATTTAGAAGAAAATAAATCTCATAATTAGATGGAGTTAGCTGAATTAACCCTGGCAATTCCTTTTTTAATAGATTCGAATCAAGATCTTAAAATTAACAATCAATATTTATCCGAGTATTTTGTTTTCTGATTTTACGTGGTAAATAATGAGGAATAGGTGTGTTGAATTTGAAAATGAAAAGGTCATAACTATAGGTTTACAATTCGAAACTCTTAACCTTTAGAATTTCAGCTTCAAATAATGGTAAATATCACATATTCTAATTTACAAGGATTAGCTTAATCGATAGTCAATCGTATGCCGTCTTGTTGTTATTTTCGAATCAGAAAAATTAATTTCCCACCAAAGCAAATGTAAAATCTAAAAGATTCTAATTAATATTGAGAATACTAAGGCGTGATGTTTTCGAGATTAAAAAATATCTCGAGTCAAGTTCAGCAAAAGAAACTTCTAATTTTTCTCTAAAATTTTCCATTGCCTATACTTTGTAAAGTGTAATTAATTGTTTAATACCTTTACATGGTGCACATGTAGGTGCACCAAAATTAATACCAATCGCCGTTGAACCACATATTATACATTCATGTTTGGGCCAACATGATCGATGTTTAGAATGATAGACTTTCTTCGGAGTATCGGTTGACATTGCTCGCTAAACTTTTGAAATTGAAACAAAAAGAAACATAATTGATTATAAATAAATTATTATTAATTTAGATCGAAACAACACGAGACTCTGTTTCCTTAGTTAATACTAATCGAAATATAATTTAATACTGACGAGTCACATAGTAATGTAATTGTACAATATTCAATAATTAATAGTTAGTATATAAACTAGAGAATTTTCTAGACACGTAGTCTTAAGAGTTTCATTCAAAATAAACTTGTTGGTTTGGCAGTGCTGTTCAAGAGTCAATCAGAAATAGATATTTCTTTTTTTTGCGACAAATACCTCATGATAAGAAGAGAAAAGACTCTGATAACCCAATTATTTAAAAATGCACTTAAAGCACGATACACGAAGTATGATGTACTGAATCGACCAGGAAAATATTTGTAGAGACTAAAACGGACATTCTGATTTTGATCAAATAGTTTCCGTTTAATTGATTTATATCAATTATTTGTTTTCGACAACAATAAAGCATTTACTGTAGATTTCATGCTTACTCTAGATGCTTGGTTAATACGACCATTCAGCAAGTGCATGAATAATGCCCTTGAATAAAATTATTGGTAATGTTTAGAAAAAAATTCACCGGCGTTTTTTTCGTTTCGGTTGTAAATAGAAAATAATAAATGTCTAAAATGAAAAAAAGTATTCTTTTTTTATAAAAAATGAAATGCTATGAGAGAATATGAAATTAGTATTTTTTTTGAAGTAAATTCACTCTGTATTTATTTTAATTCGTGAAGAATTCAAACAAAATTTCATTGTGATACCACTAGATCAACAAGAATAGCATGTGGTTGGTGGTGGTGGTAAAAGACAGAAGTAAACGGTAAAAAAAATAGAGGGTGTGAGCATATTTTTGTTTATATCGTTTATTTTTAGTAATATCAGTGTATTTATTAGTTTTATCTTACCAAGCCAGTAGTTAAATGAAAAACAAAATAGATTTTTTCACCTTTCAAAATTGTGAAAAAGCTTTTGTTAATAATATTTTTGATCATCGATCATTCATTTATTATTCCATAATTTTGAAATGTCTCAAAATTGAGTACATGACCCGGGTCTCTGTTTTTCATTTACGTTGAATTGGATTGTCTTGTGCTTTCTGTTCTGTATTTTTCATTTTGTCTCTTCCTCTTACCCGTGTAAATATAATAAACCCAATATTCACTTGATTTTATTACTGGAAAATATCACGTTGTCCAATTAAGTTTTAATTAAGCCAGTATGAAAACAAAAAAATGCAATAGAAAACGTTACTACATCAGGTTATGTAAATATTTACTGTTGCTTTTCGTATTGTTTATCACTGATAACGCTTTTTGGACTACCGTAAGCTAGCGATACCGTTCGAAAGTATTATATATATTATTAATATTATTGAACTTTAACGATATTCATTTATTTATTTGAATATTTCTGATAAAAAAAAAACTTATTTAAATATTCAAAATAAAACAAAAATTAATTTTTATTCATGAGCTTCAAAAACAATTTTAATACATTATCAATTTATTTAGATATGTTCAAAAGAACATATATCCTTATCCACTCTACCCCGACGATTCCTCAGGGATATCATGATTCAAGTAGCTTTGTATTCATGAGACTATAAAATTTGTCATTGTCTATGTATTGTGAATATGTAAGCTGAAGATGATTGAGTAAAAGGTCGAAAATTCCAAAAACACGAAGAATTAAACAAAAAACACAAAGCTACTTGAATCATTATGATATCTGTTCTTTTGAATATTTGCGTAGAATTCATGAAAATTTCGTTGAAAATATTTAGATATAATATAATCATATTTTCAGGTGCATTCGAAGGCTCATCAAATTTGAATGTAAGTACGTATGATGAATTCTAGATTTCCAGAGAGGTACTAACTTTTCATCTTCATACTATACACTAGAATAGCTTTCCATGGCTATATGGGATGCTCTACTGTTAGAATGTACGTAACAGAGATTATCAGTCGAGACATTCTCTATGTGATTGTATGAAAATGACTCAAAAAATTGAATTGCTTGAATACTTAAGATTATTGGAAGCAGAACATTTTACAATATAGAGCCAAAGTTGCCGTACTCATGTATTCATATAAGAGACAACACTGTTCTCTTTCTATATTTTTTTCATTTTAGATACACGCAATTTTATTAGTTCAAACTGTTTCATTGTAATAGAATACATTATGCTACGTAGTTTCTCCACAGTGGCTTCGTTTTGATTTTAGTGTAGCTCATATATTCTAACTTTAGAAAAATCGTATCGCTTCTTATGATGTTTTCGATCTACTCTCTCCTAGATGATTTTCTAAACTACTTATGTATACGACTAATGAGGTAAACGCTGGCTATATTTAACATATTGACTGTTCAATTAATGTTCCCAGGACGTAGAGGTACGACGGAAAACGGCCGGAAGTCGGGGAAATCGCTGGAAAGTGGAAGCAGTATTCCACCCGAAAATTATCGTACTTTTTTCCTATGGACTCCTACCAGTTTCCTGTGCGTTCCGGCTGGAAGATGACCGAAATACACCGGGAAAAAAATTCCGTCGATTTCCGACCGGAATACTGTTTCTACGTTCCAGCGCTTTTCCGTGCTTTCCGGCCAGATACGGTGATTTTTTCACATCTTTCCGGTCGGTTCCTACGGTACCCGTGCTCCGGAATCATCGATCTTGGATTTAGCAATGTAAGTTTTAATCGAAATTCTACTTTTTCTTGGATTGCATCGATCCATATTGTTTTTACAAACTATGAAAGTAAATGAAAAACTGTCCTGGATATAATAGTCAAACATTATCTTTTTAACAAAAACTAATGAATAAATTGCAACGAAAACTTTTAACAATATGACTCTGTTTTTATTTATTTCTAACGATCACGAATATCAAGTGTTAATATTTTATTCAATGTCTCATAGGTAACCAATAATTCGCTACGTGTTCGCACCTGAACACCAATTTCAAATCCCACGCGTTGCATTCATAAATAAATATTAATTAATTTAGAATAAATTCTAACGGCACCATCGTATCTATAACGATTTGATAGATATTTCCATAGAAGAGCTGCATAAATATTTTGAATTTCAATAATCGCAGTTTTTTTCTTTGGAATTTAAAAAAATTGATAACTATCGTACAAGCAAAATAGTGACGATGAAAAAAAGAGTACAACCATCCAAAGACGTGTTATTATTGGAGCAGCTATCAATGAACGTTCAGCTAAGTGTTCAGTATGAGCAAACTGTTCATATAATTGAGTCCACATATCACCGCCCAAGTCGCTTTTTCACGAGATATCTAGAAGAAAAAAAATCTTATTCTTTACTAGAAAAAAAAATTTTTCCTTTAATTTTTCTTTACCTGCCATGGTTCAGAAAAACATGATTGACCAATTTCAATTATATTAGGAAATAGTAATGAACGAAGATTATTTTTACATAGATAATTTGATTTATGTTTGATAGAGAATGAAAGGTTGGTAATGCTTGAAAAAAATGAACATAGAGAAGCAGCTAAATTCATGGTCAATGTTGTAAAATGTTTTAAAGGCATGGGTTGATGCTGATATAATGTTGTCTCATCAGCAAATACAGTTGAACGTTGTGAAATGTAAGTTTTAAGACAATGTATGTAATAAGTTGCAATAGTATTTAATAAATGACACCAGTCTGATTCACGTAATTGTGTATTGTTTTCAATAGACTGCAAAAAAAATCATAAAGAATTTCTTTAACATAGTCTAGACGATTTGTGTAATATTCACTGATATATTATCTTCTTCTATACGAAATTTCAATAATTGATTAGATCTCAGAGAAATTCCTGATTGGAATGAGTCCTTTTTGTTTAGAATATTTGCTAGAAACGCATTTGAATATATTATTTATCTATTCAGCTGAGTAAAAAAAAGAATAGAAAGGCATGGTTCAGTATCCGTATGCGAATTTTCAATGATATCTTCTAGAAGTGTTGATTTTTTAAGTACAACCGAATGAATTTTCTCGTCACACACTCCGCCTTTTCCGTGCAGTCGTCGTGTACATAATGAAATAATATTTGTATAATTATTTGTAAGCAGAGATAGAACCCGCCTCTATCTCTCTCATATATCATCGTATCCTCTAATACGAATGAGTAAATTTTATTTGTGCCAACAATTATTATCCACTCGATGAATAATGACATGTGCAATTTTAGGATATCTTCGATTCTGTGTGCTTTTTGTTTTGATGTGTGTGTCAAAAGAATAGTGCTTAATACGTTAAAAAAAACGAACTTTCAGCTCGGTTGAGCCAACTGTCTGAGAGAAATCAGGTGAAATTTTGAAATCCTTGTAGTTCTATTGTTTCATATTAGGACGTTTGCTCTTCGTCAAAGATTTTCTGTCTGGAAAAAAATGTTCAAGTGCTTTGTATGAGTCTCTCTCGAAAAAATCTCGTAATCGATGTGTGATATCCTTTAGCTAATATTCTCTGCTTCAGTACGAACTAATTCTTCTTTCATTCCTATGTCAAAACAACGACGTATTTGTACAGTGTACTCGGCAGAATCATAATCATCGGTATCACACACATTCGCAACATATTTAAATCACGATGTTGACATGATGAGACCAGAATCTAATTTTAATAGTTTTTATTTTCAATTCAATGAATTCTTTAGATTATTTTACTTCTTTTCGACGAAAAAATGCTGAAGAATAGGATAGATTTTTTTTGCTGCAATTTATTTCGTACAATATAAAATACCTTTGCGCATGGTGCACACGTTAGTGTTCCAAAATTAACACCAATGGCATTTGCACCACATATAGTACAGTCACGCGAAGGCCACTGTGTGTCATCATGTTGAGGATTAACTGTTATCGACATTGTTTAAGATATATTTCACTAAAGTTATATTTAGCAAAAAAAGAATCAAAGTAGGGTTCAATGCGTCTTCATTTATGTTAAAAGCATGTTTCATTAAGCTTTTTGACTTAAACTTAACGTTCAGAAAACATCAATGATCGTGTAGAATAACGTCTCGCCGTATTAGAATGCCTTAACATAACGAAAAATTTCACTGTTCTTTTCTTTTTTTAGACGGCATGATTTCTTTAAAGTCTTGTAAATCACTCGACTTTTGCCTTTTCTTTTTATCTAGATAAACTTTCTTAAGTACGCATTGATGCAAGCGACACTCGAAAGTTATGTGTTGAATCGAGTTGAAATAAAATTTTCGTAAACAGCTGAAATGGATAAAAAAAATGAAAATCATTGGTTATTCAAGCCAGAGTCTCAATCTGTGAAACAGAGATGAAAACACACACACTATCTGTTTTTCGAAAATATTTTTACAATGCAGCGAAGTTCTATAAAAGAAACGAAATTGGAAAAAAGCAATTTTTTCATTCTGAACAAAAAATAATTTACCTCATATCGACTGTGTATCAGAAATAAAAATATAATCGGAAATATTCCTATTACATCAGTATTTTGATAGAAAAAAATTGCACCAAACGAGAGGAATCTGTATTTGCATATTACTTATGATCGAATAAAAGTATCCGGGTCAAACTGTAGAAAAAAATTCTATAGGTCAAACAAACATTATCCTACTATACCATGTTTATATTTTCTTATTGTGCTTAAGGATGGAATCGAACGAGAGAAAAAACAAGAAAACCTACATAAACTTACAAGCGTATACTAGCATTGTCTATTCTATTGTTATAATAGAAAAAATTGTCGCCTATAAGATAAGTTACTGCGTTCTCTCCCCTTTTTTAATGCGTAAGCGTCATCAGTATTTCATGCCTCCTTTTCTGTTTGCTTCTTTAGCTTGCCTATTCCTGGTAGACCGATTTATATTTGAAATCACCTGTCGCCCTTCTATCAGAATAAGAGCTTGGCGAAGATACATGACACACGCTGTTGTATCGCTATCTATTACAAAAAAATAACTGTGATTTTGCAGACGCAGTAACTGGTTTAGTAGGATGATGTATCCGCTGCTTTAGCAAATTAATTCAAGTAAATATATTTATTGGGCTTACAAGAAACAAAAGATATCTGGAGTTTCAATTTTTCAATTTCCTTCACCTATCTACTTCATAAATCAGTAAAACATCGAAATAAATTTAGTGCCAACTTTATAATTTGATACGATTAGTATAAAAAAAGACGCGTCTGCTCGGTTGAATATTACATACCGCAGTAAACTAACTGTTTCTTAAAATAACAATATCTTTAATTGCACTGCTTTATTGAATTTCTCTAGACGACTTTATACTAGATACAACAGGAACTCAATTAATATGTAATTGACTTTCTGTCATATTATAAATATATAGAAGATACTCCTGTTTTTCTTTGCTAATTACGGTTGAATAAATAAAACAAATTTCTAGATGAGAATTACATAAGAAATATTTTCTCATCCTTCAGATACAAAAAAATTGAACTATGTGGAACGAGAACCAACTTATTTTTATTCTCTTTAATGGCTGATTCATATATCCAGGTGCACAAAAAAGTGAATTACAACTAATAAGCATCGAGAGTTGAACCTAGGATTAATTTATATGTTGATAATAAATATTATTCTTGTCGTGAGACATATACAAGATGATATTTTTAAACTGAACGATTTAAAAAGTCATTAGTGAGATTAACATAGAAGCTATCAATATGCCGCTTTTAGCTTTTACTTTTGTATTAACCTCATTAAGGGTAATTTTCATGGTCATTATGAGATTTTCTCACAGAATTAAATCTTGAGAGGAAGAAAGAAGAATAGAATTGAATGTGCTGTCTATTCGACACGCTTACCAACTAAAAATGATCTTTGAAGAATTTCGTCAAGCGCCATTTTTTTCTCAGAAAACTAAATTCCACTGACCCTCAGTGAACACTTTGGCAGTTACGATCAAGTACCTAAAAACATTTTTTAACGATACTTATTTTTTTAAACTTAAATTTAATCCATAAAAATACAACCTATTTATTCAAGTCTTTGTAAATGAAAATGTTTGTTCTTGACAAGTTAAGCTCATAGTGAAATAAATGACAGGAAAATATTTTTTTACAATAAAAAAGATTATCAATTAACATTTTGCAAATCGAAATAGTTTACACGACTTTTTATCGAAATCTAGTAATGAGAAAATTGAATGCATCGCTTTGACCGCCATATGATAATTAGATGACAATAGGAGAATAATTATTTCTTTCACATGGATAACATCGAAGATGATGATCTTACGAATCTAGCTTGGTTGCGAGAGTCAAATAGCAAAGAATTACAAACGACAGGTGATTATGAAATTTTCCTGTTTATTTTCGGAGAAGAATATTTATTTTATTCTCGATTAGTTGAATGTGAGAATAATCATATTGATGATGATCTTCAATGTCTTTGTTGGATTATAAAAATGCGGCCAACTGCATATTCTTCGCATGCACTCAAAGTAGAATTTTTCTTTGAGGAGCATTATGAAAATTGTTAATCTCTCGTAGAGATTATCTGTTTCGTTGAATAAACTTCATCATTATCATCGTAGTAGCAATCGCTTATTATCATCTTCCAATGCTTTTAATTGTTCTCTTGGTGTTGTACAGAATGTCATGACTCATCAAGGAAATTTCGATAAGTAAGTCGTACAATGCAAATAGAAATACTTGGTAGTTTATCAAAAATAAGCTTTCTGATAATCTTTGTTTAATAATAACTTTCCGGAGGAAGAAATACTTTAATGAAAATGAAGCAGAAATTTATTTCTAAGAGATACACTAGATTCAATTGTTCAAAAGTCAGACTGTCACTATCACTAAATAGTGTGGCGCGTAAAATTCTTGAACAGAATTAGGTAAAAATTTCGATTTTGGGAGATCTAGTCACAACATGTGAGTCTAGTGAATTAACTGGAAAAAAAACTTTTATATTTTCTAGATACTATTGTTCTAAAGCCTAACGGCAGACAATTAAATCAACAATAGGCATCATTAACTCAGATAACGGCTCATGAAATCAGACAATTTATTTCAATAGAGAAAAGACTACCTTCTCTCTGACGTCTTATTCATAGATCACTGTGCACAGAAAAAAACTCTAGTTCTTCGTATTCAAAATTTTGACTATCTGCAGAATGTAAAAGTTTGGTGCGACTGTAACGAACATGCGAATCCGATAGCCTACTATCCTATTGACATGAAATACTTGCAATGCTCATAGAAACTGTTTTTCTCCGTTGATATTAAAGAAAAACATTTTTTAACATACAAATCAAATTTTGCTTATCGAACTTTTCTTAATATTCCTTCGTCAAATCTAATTCGTAAAAGAAGTTCTAATATTGTTTCAATGCGAAATAAAACTATTGATTACTAGCCATCCAGTATCACGACGAGTATTAATGCTACGAACATTCAATAATCATGTATCTTCAACGAAATCTTGTCAACAATCATCTATTATGATTCGTTCGTCAAATGGCAAGATTTCATATCTATCAATTCGTCATTTTGTGTAATCATTTTATTGAATCGAACAAAAGACAACAAAAAACTATTAAATTTCTTCATTAAAAACCTTGAACATTTTAAAATTACGAAAAAAATGAGACACTGCATCATTCACCGGATATTGCAGCCAATGTGCTAAAAATAAAAATAAAAATAAAAATATACTTATTAAAATTCATCTAAGAAGATCGATAGAGTAAGCGAAAAAACATGTTTCATAATTTTATTTCTTTTTTTTTTTATCACAAATTTTCATAGTTTACCTATGTAACTATATCTGAAGAGTATTATTAAAGTGAGTTTCATATAAGTGAAAAAGAACTGTTGATTCCCTAAAAGTAACAGAATATATATAAATATATATATATTAATATATCCAGATATTTTGCGAGTTATGTTTTTAGCGTTAATTGTCAAGTACCAATTTATTATTTTGTATAATATCATCATCGTTTAAATCGATTAATGTTATTGGTAAATGAGCTTGTTCGTCGTCAGATTCACTATGAAAGCAAATATAAGATTCGTTCAGCGAACTACATTTGAAAAGTTTAATACGAACGGAGCTCGATTGAAAGTCACTTTACGAGTGAGCGAACGTCGACGATGGCTATGTGTCGAGGGATCTAATGATGAACTTCGATGTTTTACTTCAGCTAAAAGGAAATATATGAATTTTTAATTATTTATTTGTTTGATATCTAAAAGCTTTCATGCGCATAGACTTTGTATAGAAAGTTAAAATTTTTCCGATCGACTTTCATTATCAATCAGAATGTTGGATCCTTGAAAAATAAGTTTTATGATTTAAAAAATTCTGTAAGACGGATTCATTTCAGCTTAAAATATTAAATTGACTAGTTTTTTCGATGTGGCATCGCCTCGAAACTTCACCGGTGTTCTATTGAGCATAGAGCCGAAGGAGTAGCGCCTCATTAGAAGGTAGACTACCAAACGTTGTATTTCTGAGGAAAGAATGAATTATAATTACCCCAAGATCCTCGGACGTGTTCAAAATTGTTACCATTGCAATACACTGAATGATAAAACTAAAGCAAAATCTTCGTAACTCTATAGAAAAAGCTTATGAGCATAACATTTTTTGACGCTATCTGATTTCTTTTGTCCGAGCGAGAGTTTAAGTTTTGCATTGATCTTTCTTCTGTTAAATAAAACATAATTATTTCAGACAAAGAACTTCATTAAATATATTGATATCGGCTACCAAGATAATAAATGTCTAAAGATCGGCAATGTCGTTCTACAGTCGAAAATATTTATTGCTCTAAAATATTTTGCTTTAGGATGTTTTTCCTAATTTCAAACAAGTTTCCAGAAATGGCTCAGATATAAAAAGCTCTTTCGATCTATGAGAGACCTTTTTAAAAAGGTACATATGAAAAGGTCATTGATAAATCCTTGTATTTTCAAGATGTGCCTTTATTAACGAACCTCGACGTTGTTCTGTTTGTTTTGTGATACAATTTTTAACGGCATCAATCCAGCGTGAATTCATTTCTTCAAGTTTTTCTCCATTTGATGACAACTAAAAGATGAAAATTTTTATTAAGGAATAAAATCAAATCTATTGGAACGCACCTGTACAATATAGGAGTAATCTTTAAGTACAATTTCAAATTTATTTCGATCATTTTTTGAATATGTACAAACAGCTATGTCGTTAATCTATCGAAAGCAAACAAAAATGAGCTCATTTTGCTTCAGAGAAACATCGTAATTTTGTTTTTACTTTAATCATTTCTTTAAATTGATATTGAAGAGATCTTCCATTTCCTTCGTCTTTCTTCTTGCATAATAATATAACACGTTCGAATAAAAAAATATCTCTTGTACATGTTTTTGTTCGTGTATAAACTGTGCCACGACGTTTTTCTTTCGAAATTATACAATTCTCGCCGCGTAAACGTATTTGACCCAATTTCTGCATTGGATCCTTGAAAAGAAAAGAACATGAATTTGAATTTTCTCCTTGCTATCAGAAAAATATATATTATATATTTACAGGATAGCCGACAATTTGTGTTGAATGCATAACATCATTGAGATGTGATAAAATATTTAGCATAACATATAGGGATTCTTGTAAATGTTTACGTTCTTGTTCATGATGAGTATATTTAATCATTTCCTAATAATAATAATAATAATCAAGACTAAAATTAAGAGAGATGAAAAAATTGATTTACTTTAAGTAACAAATGATATTGTGTTATTCGTTGTATGGGCTTTAATAGATAGGAATCCAATGGAAGACGATGTCCAAGAGACTGTTGAAGTTTCTAAATGTTATTTCAATCAAATGACGAACAAATTTTAATATCAATTTACGGTAAAGAACGGATGTCCACAACAATATTGTTCCCATAAACGTTCCGATTGAGATTTATTAAGAACATATTCTTCGTAGAGTTTAAAATTTGATTTCTGCAATAAATAAACGAATGAAAGTACTTCCATTTACTGATTACTGCGTGATGAAAGCGAAAATGTTGAAGATTTTTCTCTAAAAATTTTGAAAGGAAAGTCAACTGAAGTAGGTTGCTGAGCATGATATTTAGAGTTCACCTCGAGCTGGCGATATTTAAGCTTGACGATGATACTGATAGAATAAACGGTTTACTATCGACATGTGAATTACAGAGGTGCTATCTAAGCTGCGTCAGTGATCAATAGAGAAAACTCGTTATCTCTGAAAGCGTCATAAAATCAAATGAACAGTTAATGATGATCAAAAAATTATTATAGGAGTATCGTCAATAAGTAGTTAAGCAATGTGTAGGATATGATCTAGATGAATTCGAAAAAAAATCGTTAATAGACTCTGTATCCGGAAGTATTTAATCAAACATATTATCTGAAGGCTAGACATGACTTGTGGTTTTCTTACATGAATAATAAGGAAAATCTGTTTAATTTCGAACGCATCGTTAAATAGATCTTGCTTAGAGCGTAACAGACGTAAGAATATTTTGATTCGGGAAGTTATGAACTAGCAAACATTATTTATAGTTCTGGCTTAGCTAAACCTTCGGGGTAGTTTGATGATGACGCTCACATGCAAATCAAATGAATACTATCGAAAGTAGTTTATTATCTTTCGAATTAGCAGAACAAGAAGAAGAAGTCAAAATTAGAGTATTGTTTTGAATCCCTCTAAGATTATTCGAACTTGCTTTTCAGTTTTATGCATCTTTGCCACTCGAATTGTTCACATAATGAGAAAAACAAAACTAACCCGTTTAATGAAGCACGATGCAATAGCACTTCCAATTGAACATGTATTACTCACGAATGAATGATTATAGATTTGTTGGAGATCACGGAGAAATGATCTAGATAATAAACAAACCAAAGAATTTCAAGTAATAACAAAAAAGTATATTTACGTCGCATGAAATGCATAAATATCTGGCAAATTAGAAAAAAGTATTGTTTTATTTTGTAATATAATTGGAGGTATAAAACGAAACTGTTCAGGATCATCGAATTTAATCATATAACCCTAAGTTCAAAGAAAAACGAAAATTTCAATAAATAATTTTATTCAAGAAATTCTTCCTACTTCGATTATACTACGTAATTCTTCGACATAAACTTGTTCAGTAGCCAAAAGTTCTGTCACTACATGTCTAATTAAAAACAAATTCAATTATTTTCCCTACACAGTAACTTTCCTACCTTTGCTTTTTATCCATTTTTACATTATGGTTTATACTTGATTCATTATTCGATGAAGATATTAATAAACGATTAGAATCGATATCAAAATTTGATGTATATTCATTTATATGACGATGTTTTAGAATTGGTGTTGTAGAATCAACAACATTGAAAGGTGCATGCTGTAGCAATGGTAATGGATGAACATATTGTATTGGTCGATAAGCAGGTCGAACAAGTTGACGGAGTTGTTCGCAACGTTTTTCACATAAATCTCGAATATCATTTACACGATTAAATACTTGACTTATCATTGACTAGGATAGAAAAAAACAACAGATGACTTATTGAAAAATTCTTTCCGATTAAGTGAGAGCAAGTTGCAGGGGGGCAACAATTAAATTATTGTCTAGGCATTATTGAACATAGGATTTAAATATTTTTCTAGATCATTATATCGAAATAATGGTTTCTGAAGAAAATGTCTTTTGTTTATATTTTTATTGGATTTAAAGCTTGAAAAACTAATCTTCAGTTAAGAAGAATTTGTTAACAGTGCATCAGATAGAAACTACTGAAATCAAATGTTGAATAAAGTCTTTCTTCTAACAGTAAAATCAAAGAAGCTTCAAGTCATTGTTTCGATGCATAGGGGCTCTTTGTTAAGCCTCCTCACACCTCCTCAAAAGAAGTCTACTTTTCATCAGATTAATCGAGATTAAGATGAATGTAACGAAGAAGATTTCACCAAAACAATATGAGTGTTGTTTTTCGTTTTGTTTTCGAAAACTTTTAATGATTCGTTTGGCTGTTTGTTTGAAAAATATTCGGGTTTCAAACGAATGAACATGTTTAAATATTTTTGTTTTATTATCTTCTAAAAAAAAGACGAGATTTACTATTGTGAGTTAGAATTAAAAAAAACTTTGTCAAGCACGGCAGTCTAACTCTATTATGTACAAAAACCAAACATTAAATGTATGCTGCGAAGTCCCACAGAGAATAATGAGTCATCTAATGAGATACTCGCGCTCGTCTTCGATAGGAGAAAGGGCAGATGTTGCACTGCCGGAAGTCCGACTAAGTTTTAAGTCTTGCTCTCTGAAAATCTCACGAGTACATTATGGTAAATAGTTGATAGAATGAATATATATATATGCAATTTATCTTACTCTAAGTGGTTCGGGTGTTGATGTATGTTGCAACTCTTCGATATTCATTATTGATAAATCGGTCAAAAAGCGTTCAAGTTCTACGATAGACCGAAGAGCGTTATCATTCGATAAATGGATTGAATGCATCGATAGCATATCTTTACCACGTACACACCAATCATTTATCTAAAAAATATATTAGTTAATAGATATATATAAAATAAAATAAAAGATAAAAATTTGTCTTACAAATCCAAGTTTATCAATGTACTTTTTCAATAATTTTAAACTATGCCGTTTTTCATCAATTTGTTCAATTAATTTTTTCTTCATCTCTTCTAGTTCTTGACGTTTCGGTTCAATCGAATCATTGCCATAGGGTATAGATTGCTGTTTCTGTTGTTCCATCATCAAAGCAAGGCCATCATTTGCCAATCGAGTAGCATGACTGATCATCGTCTAGATATTTTTATGCAACACATATGTCAGAAAATAGCATCGATAGATATTATTACTTCTGCCTGTTGTGCCAGTGCATCAACTTGAATTAGTGTTTGATCGATCTCTTCTCGGAGATTATTATTGTTGTTATTGTTATTATTACAATTATCAAATCCACAAGTGTTCAATGCCAATTGGCTAATATTTATATCAGGCAATTGAAAAATTTCGTTGTATAAGCATAAGAAAATATTTTGTATCCGTTTAAAACGTTGCTCAAAATGGCGTAATTCAAGACAATAATGTAAATGTGTTTTGTGTATAGACCAAAATTGTGACAGAGTAGATTCGATAGTATCAATATGTACTAAAGCACTAGAAATAGGATTGGTTTATCCTAAAAAACAACCCATCAACTAATACTTACCCTATGCAAGCACGAGCATGTGCCGATTGATCTGGTGATAAAACAATATGGTACACATCATTATGCTTGTCAATTGTGCTATGATGAGAGGTTGAAGACTGTTTATTCTCTTGGTGAATAATACACAACAGTGAATGACCCAAACTAGAATGTATATAGAAGGACAGAATGAAACAAAAGTATGCGCAGAGCGAGTCAATACAATTGTTGTGAAGAGAAACGATGATGATGATGATGATCAGCATCGAGATACAGTCATTTTTGTACGTGAATAAAGAAAGAAAAAAGGATGCAAAAAAAAAAGAGAACATTGCTGAATAATATATAATACGTGCACTTTTTCTTTTTCTTTTGATCTCTCTCTCTCTCTCTTTTGTTTGCATATACATACATTGAGTTTATGATAAATACTTCAAATGTCTATAGAGTAATCAGTTTATATGATGAATATACGTAGCTATGTATTCAAAGCAATAAAAAAAATTAATTTATTCATTCATTACGTTTTAATACGTTGTAGTTCACGTTCGATATGATTCTTTTGTATTAGATTTTGACCAGCAATTGTATCGACTGATTCAACATTATTAGGAAATTCAACTTCATTAACTTCTTTAATAAACGCAAGTAATGTCTCATTTAATTCATGTATTGATTGAGTTAATTTTTCAATAGTCTTGCAAAGAACAAAAAAAAAAAGTAAAATAAAGAGCATTATTTATTTTAATGATCACTGATAATTACCAGTCTTTGTTCAATCCATTCAAATAAACGAAAATTAATTAAACCACCTAAATCTTTAGATAATTGACTTACATCGACATATTCATAAAGTTGCGATAACGACCGACAGATAATTAGCTAAATCAAATATTAACAAAAAAAAAAGCTACTACAAAAATATCTAATTAAACCTACACGATATGAACAAGTTATATCATTCAGAATTGCTACATGTGATAGAGCTCGTTGCATGAAGGAATTCGGCCGAAGAAGATAAATACATTGTATTGAATACGGAAAGTAATCCTGTAGAGAGAGAAAAAAGAAGCTCAACTTTATTTCGTATGATTAATAGATATTATATATTTTATTCAAGTGTTTGACAGTAGGGCATCGTATGGAAGTAGATGAGAAGTTATTTCTATGAATTCTTGTAGATTTTAATCAATAATTAGAAACTGATGTAATGCGTATTAAAAATGCAATCGTTCTTTTGTATTTATTAAACAATGAAATATCAAAAGATAGGAAGAATATGAGATTTATGTATTCAAAAAAAAAACCAATCTTTCTATTTCTATTGATATTTTTTGAAAGTATGCATTGAAGATCAATCTTCCGTACGTAACAAAAAAAACAAGGAATTTTTATCAACACTCTGTCTTGTGGTTGGCAAATAGAAAACAAACGACTTCTATTTTACATATTAAATATAGCTACGTTTAGTTACCTCGATATAGCTGATAATAGATTTAACAGTAGTCCATGTATTTGACCGTCGATCAATAATGAGAACAAAACCGCATTGACGTTCGTTTTCACTAGATAAAGTAAACTGCGGAATATTGTTATTTTTTCTCTCTCGTAATATTTATTACGTTGGTATTTGAGTTAAATATGAAATAAGCTTTTTATAATTTTCTTGTGTTAATTCAATTTTTGAATTATCGGGAAATGTAAGAATTGGACAATCATGACTTGTACCACCCGTTAGAAATGCAAGTCGTTGATTTAGCAAATCAGCTGTTGATAAAACATTAAGTGAAGTTTCTTGCAAGACATGTTCTAGCGTAGAGAATAAAAACAAAATAGTTAATAATTTAATAGAAATAACAACATGACCTGGGACATACCGAGAGTGTGATATATCTCTCGAAATTCATGTCGACTATGCAAACTCATCATAGTTAATAAGATTAATTTTTTACATTGATTATTTAAGTCAAATTAACTCTCCATGCAACGGATATTTACTCAGGAAAACAAATACTATATAAATATGTGGTGAGCATTAATTCATTGCTGCCATTTGAAGAATTATGCACGCAACGTGCTATGCAATATGTGTACTGACTGATGACTTTTTTGTAAAAATGCCATATGAATATTTATAAATGTAGTATTCTTGTAAACACCATGTTTATCATATGTTAATGTATTATATTGCTTTTTGTTTTAAAATGATTATTTGCTAATTACTTCTTAATCTAAGAACATTTTCTCAATGATAAAATTGACCAAATAAATAGTTTAGTCTGATTTGTTTTTTCTTGATCGGGTCTCTTGGTTTCGACTGAGGCATGCGACGCACAGTTTGTTATGTTGGAATAAACTAATGTCTTAGATAAATACAGCTGGTAATCTTGAATATATCATGTAAAGAAAACAAAAGGAAAAAAAGACATGAAATGAGTCTTATTTCAATCGACTGATGTACCATGAAAGGAAGCAATGACAAATAAGGTTTCGCAAGACTTTAGCTGTAATCTTCTCTTAAAAGATGAATTTAATCAAATTTGTACCAAATATAGAGACTTTTAGGGGGACCGATAGCGAAATAGAATAAACTTGTAGACGTGGATATTACTAGGAGAAGAAAACAAAGTAATTGGAAAGAAACACAATGTAATGGACATATTTATTCAATTAGAGACATTAGTTTTTGAATCGTCAGCTCTTGGTTCCATTTACTTCTGCTTAGAAATGCATGATCCTTGAATTATGAGTGCTACTTGTTCGTCAACATTATCATTTTAAATTTAAGAGACAACTTTTAACTAAAAGTGCTCATGAAAAATACTTTTAATATGAATATTTGTTATGAATGAACCGTCTCCTGTGATATTGGTGTTATATTTAGTCCTTCATTTAAATGTTGATCACGCATCTGTTATGGTATCAACGTATGAAGATTACTAATGTTTCATGATTATGAAGTGTCGTGATGTAACGATAATGTAGTATACTTTCTTTTTCTTTTTCATGTTCTACAAAACGAGAGATTGAATATAATCTTAGCGAGAAGAACAACGAATAAAAGTGACGATAGTCTACTTACATCATAATACAGTGAAGGATATAATAACAATAGTTTTGCCTTTTTTAAATTAAGTTTATTTTCGAATGAGTTTCTGCATGAAATTATCAGATGGATGCATCTGTGTTCGATAAAACAAGTGTGCAACATTGATCGATTGTTCTTTGCGTTTGACTACGAAATGAAGTACTGAAAAAAAGAATGTCTTGTTTTTCAATCATTATATTATGTAAAGGAATCTCAAGAGAATTTGCATTCGTAATTTACTTGGGCTATGGGGAAGAAAAATTGACATCTTAATAATAAAATAAAAACATCTGTATTTAATCATGAGATTTTTTTGTTATCAAAATTAACTAAAAAAAGAATGGCATTGAAGATATTTTCTTTTTGGCATCAAATATTTATTATCAAACTAGAAATCATTTGATATACGAATATTTTTTATATGCTAACCTTACCTAACAAATAGCCAGCAATTTAAATTATAGATTTTATCCATCTGTCAATATCAGATATTGAGATATAAAAAAAATCGTTGATCGATTCATTTCGGCATTAAATCGAAATGAAGTTAATGATTATCATTCTTATTTTCACAGGACTATTACAGTTCTCTGCAAAAGCATTGAGTAAGCATAGACATAAAATAACAAAGATAATATTCTATTTCTAATTGTCTATCATCTTAGATTGTGCGAATAATCCTTGTAAATTAGGTGGTTATTTTACAGCAAAAAAAGGCTACGAATGTTTCCAGGTGAATCACGAAGCATTTTGTACCTGTCCCAATGGTGGACTAGAAATTAATCAACAATGTCGTAAGAAGACAAAAACAAATTATATTACGCAGTATATCTGCTTAGTTTTTTCTTATTAGGCGTTTGTAATCGAACTGACCCTAGGAAGAACGCATGTATGCCTTCTCCAAATCTTCTAGCCTGTCTCGAGACACAGGAGTACGGCGGATCATTTGCATGTTTATGTAAGAATCGTCTAGGGCCTGTAGTGACAATATCGTCTAATTGTGGTACATAATAATGAAGAAAACATTAAACAATGCAAAAACGTGATTTGTTTATGTTTTTATAGATTCACTCGTTACAGTAACAAGTACTATGACAACCGCATCGAGTGCTACTGTATCTGCTATGTCATCGACATGTTTCAACGGAGGTTATCTTGTTGATGGTAACTGTCATTGCCCTAGTGGCTTCAGTGGAACCCTTTGCGAACAAATTTTCGGTAGGTTAATGTTTTTCTGTTTTTCATGTGCATTTGTATTGTCGTCTATGTAGATGCTCAGTTGTGTGAAAGAATTAGTTGTAAAAATGGAGGAGCTTGTGCTATTCGAAATCCAGATGGACATTATGAATCTATATGTCTATGCCGGCAAGGTACTTCAGGCGAGTATTGTGAATTTAGAGGTAAGAAATTTCAAATTTTAATAAGTTTTGAAATTTCCAAGAAAACAAAAACATTAGGAACGCCTGGTTTTTGTACGCGTAATTCATGTATGAATAGTGTTAATTGTCACGAAACTTTGATTGGATCGACACGCCATGCATATTGTAACTGCCTACCAGGTTACTCAGGAACCACATGTGAGAATCGTACGTATTTTATTAGGATGCGACTTTTTCTGTGGACTCAATTTTTATTTTCGATAGAGTATTTTAAATGTACCTCAGACGGAAAATTTATTGATAGTTTTATGAATGATCAAGGCAAATATTTTCATTGTACACAAGCAAATGAATGTAAGTTTATATAAAAAACGTTTTTTAACTTGTATCATTGTTTTTTTCAAATTTTTAGCATATCGATTGGAAATAAAATCATGCCCAAAAGGTCTCCGTTTTAATCAAAACAAGAATACTTGTACTCTATACTGAATCGAGAATTGAATGTTGCTTATTTCTCCAATTTCTAATTTTATTATTGTTTAAATAAAATGAAATTTATGTGTGGCGCAATCAAAAGATTTTCAATAGCTCTTGAAATAGTATTGCTTCTATTAACGACTTTGATCATACTCAAAAACGTTTTCCAATGCTCGTGTACGCCCTATAATAATCAGATAGTTCCTAAAAAGTCACACACTTTTCAACAAACTTTCTTATGTGAGTTTGTGATAAAATCAAAAAATAAAGATTGATCACTATAGAATGATCGAAACATTTAAGTTTAGCGGAAACACCAGAAAATACAGAGATTTCAAACATAAATTGATTTATTATTAGATAAGTATTTATTGATTCAGAATAATTTTCACGCTTTTTATGTACGTTTATGTCAATAAATAATGTAGGTGCTCGAACAATCAGTCTAGCATGCGCACTTTTGTTTTCAACGACAATACAAAAATTTATCCACGGAGAAACGCAGCAATCAGATGCTTGCACGCTTGAATGAATACAACACTCTTGTTTCAGCATTTCATAAAAGCACGACAAATAGAGCAGAACAGGCATAGTTTGAATCAGTCCAGAGCAGTCATTATTTGTTGCGACACTATTGATTGGATGGTGTTCTTGTGTGCTTGAATATTGATATAACATTTATATTGTCGTGTCTCACTTTCTACTCAGAGTTTTATTATACATCATTGCTCAACGTTAATATCGGTTTGGGTAAGCTGATATTTTGCACTGATTATCTATTTTTGTTTTAGTCGCCATTGGACCTACTTAATTATTCACCTTTCTTCTTGTTGTGCGTTGGGGACCAGTTGGTGATGACTGGAGACGAACAAATTCAGTACAGATCCCGAAATAATAATAGTAATGTGGACTCACCCACCAAAAGAAAGAAAGAAAGAAAGCGATGCTTCCGTACTTCAGAGTAGGAGAGGAGCTACAATTTTAGGAAAGAAACAGAAGATACGAGTATTGAAGAAGTATTTTAATTGTGGAACAAAGAAATTCTCCAGCATTGTTCTAAATGACCTCAGACAATAGAATAACTCGAATCACCGGATCAGGTTCCAAAAAAATGTGGTCGCACATATCTCTAGTCGGGATGCTACATTTCTATTATTTTTTATTGATATTATTCGGCAATCGATAATAAATTTTTATTACTCTAATGATAACTGTAGTTTAATTCATTATTTTGATGATATCAAAACCTTTATTTGCATTGCTCAACAAAATATAGATTATTCTTATACAAAGTTATTACAAATCACGTGCATCACTTATTAACATTCCTATAGCAATGTTGCACTCCTACCATTAATCATTCCCTATGTAAAATTCAATATAAATTTATAGATTTAACGAAAAACGATGTTATATTTTGTTATTGGTACAGTTGACATGAGAATTTAGTTGAGATTGGAATAATAAATTTAATTAAAGATAGAGAAAATAGGCACAAAAGAGAGCGAAGAGAAGAAAAGAAAAGAAGAAAACAATTTCGAAAATCAAAATGCAAATAAAATTACTAGGTTGAGGAAAACGTTCGTGCGCTGGACAAAGCTCCAATCAAAATTTTTTTTGTTACTTTCTCAAAATAATACGGCGCACGAATTTTTTCCTCAACCTTATAAAAACTCGTTTCATTCCCATCCCACCTGCTCGAGACCCGTACTTCGAAGTAACGATAGCGAAACTCTCTTTCTGTCTTTTCTTCGAATATAGAACGAAAGAAAAAAGATCAATGTCCCGAGTATTAAAACAAACATCTTTTCAGAATCTTTCTCACACTTCTCTCTCTTCGATCATGAAAGATAGACACAATTAATCTTGGAAACAAAAACGTGTTTTTTGAATCTAAATACTCAATCAAACTAGCTCATATCACTCCCTTATAAAATTTTATTTCTATGAATCCCTCTCTCATAACATTTATAGAATAATCAACAATTCCAATCTCAACTAGATTCTAAACTCTACTGCCACATATATATAAACATCGAAATTAAGTCGTCACGAAATATTATTCTAGTAGCAAAACGGACGAGTGAAACTGTGCAGAAGCAGGTCTGAAAATGTGTTCATTTGCGGGCACGTTTTAAGTATCGTTATTCCAACAACAGTATAACTATGGTTATAATAGTATTGCTGCGAAAGTAGGCATCAATCTAGACCTGATGAATATATGTCTGCTTTTATTTGCAACAACTGGTCAAGCACACAAGCGAAGACTTATGAGAACACATACAACTAATTATGCTTACACAAAATTCTTGCGACTATCTGTGGTGTTCAAACTCAGAAAAGTTGAATAATGGTTCTGCTTGAAAATCTGTTGAACTGTTAATAGAGTCTTCTTCATACCAGGAAACTGTAGAAGCAATTTTTTGCCTTGGTCCCAATCTGTGTGCCATCTAATTTCTCAGCGCCAAAGGGCACAAATCCTTGTTGTCGAAAAAATATAGACGTTGAAACAACTGAAACTGCGTTTCCTTTTTCATCAAAGTACCTTCGTTTTTTATTGTTTCCCTTTGACCATATCTGTCGAAAAACAAGAACAATACCTGTCGATGACTCATAACAGATTATACTTGTATGCGGTAAATAATCAAGAAAAAACAAAGATTTTCAGCCATCTGGAGCAAATTTCTTAATCGTATTATTTTTGCCATAAAAATTCTCATATTACTATGATTCATTGAAACACTTCTTTGATTTCGAGCAGTCAAAATACAAATAAATAAGTAGCCAGTTAGAATTCGCATAATTCCTACATGCAACTATTTGTATTTTATGAAAAAAATAGCAATAAAAAGCATATTAGCATAAACATGATCAGACTTTTATTTAATCTCTCAAATGTCAGTTTTTGTTATAAATTCTTTTTTTAAAACAATATTGCTCAATTGATTTCATTTCGAATAAAATAGACTAGAAATAGTTATTGAATTTTGTGTAAAGCTTTATTGCTTGTTTATCTAAAAGAAATGTATATAAGCTTGCGAAGATTTATTACAAATGATTAATTAGTTATTTTGTAAAAGTAACTAAAACCCCATTGTGATCAGTTGCATCTTCACTTGGAAAAATTTTACATTCATTCATTATCCATCCATTATTTAGCTCACCTCTTCTCCAAATATAATCAATTCGTGTCTTGTATATACATGTGATTGCTTGATCATTAAGAGCTTCTTTATTCATTTCTCGCCAGCAATCATGATATCCGTTCGTTTTCATGCTGTTTGTTAATAAATTGAATGGCGCTTCCCATGCATTTTGTTGACGTACATCGTGAATATTAGCGTTAAAATAATCATCGGTATAATCTTCAAATGTCAATGAGTTAAAATCACCTAAAATCATTTGAAGACCTTCGACATGCACACTTTTTTCAAATTGATTCATCTGATCTAAACGTATTTGTTCACTAAGTTGATCTAAATGCGTGACATACAATGTAGCATTGTTATCGCGGAAAAATTCATGATCGAGTTGTACTGCCAGCATTCCACGTGCATTGTGATCTCCAACTTTTTCTGTGCGATATTTCGCGCTGTTTTTCAATGGAATTCGTGAAAGAACACCATTACCAAAGCCTTGTGAAGTATGACAAAATTCAGTGTACGGTAGCTCAAGTAAATCGGAGAGTAATTGAAAATTTTCACAATTTTCAGACGTATCAGCTGACGGATGGTCAGTACGAAGTACTTCTTGCATGGCAAGCAGATCGAACGACATTGGTTTTATAAGTTGAGCAATACGATGAACATTTGGTTGTCCTTGTGAATCAGTAAAAAAGTGAACATTAAGTGTGCCTATACGTAATTGTGCTATGTGTTTTGTGTTATTCATCTAGAATACGAGTCATTTTTGTTCACATGTATAAAACAATAAAACCCCTGGCATAGTTATGAACTTGTTGGATTTATCAAAGGAGCTACGTTGCAGATACAATGTTTAAAATGTACACATAGGAAATAATCAAATCTTGTTTCCAGCACTTATATAAATATTTTCAGTTTCGGTTGCAAATCGAGCGTCTAAAATCATTCTTCGATCCCAAGATAACGTAAAACGATTCTTCGTAGAATTCAAAATAAATCAAAGATTTTTACAGAATATTTCTAAGCTTTCCTCTAAGTTTTATTGAATGCCATACATTTCTAAATGTTTTAAATTATGACTTTGGTACAGAAAAAATCCATATTCATGATATAAAAGTTTGTAAGTGATGAGGGATGTTTAAATTTCACATTCTTGAGAAACAAATTAATATTGACATTTTTCTCTGATGATAAAGACACAGAAAACAGTACGTATAAAAGATGAATAAAAATATTGAATTCAGTAAAATCGCCAAGTAATATCAATGGAATATCATTGAATAAAAACTACAGTCTACAAGAAATTTTTCTATTGATATAATGAAACTAAAATTATAGTCGAAAGTTCTAAGTTCGAGCTTTAAAATAGTTGGACGCACAAATTTTTGTTAATTGTGTCGATAAAAAATCATTGAGTCGTAAGTATGTATTTACTTACTTTCCTTCCTGGCTGACTTATTACATAATTCGATGCGTAAGTAACCATTGGAATTTTTAATTCATGAATCATTTTTATTTATTAGGAACTTTATTCACTTTTTTTTCGATGATGAAATAGAACTCATTGGAAACATTAATAATACCATCTGATGATACCAAAATTTTATGCAATCAATAGAGATGGCGCTCTTACACGATTCGATAACGGGTGCCTCTTTTTTCCGAACTAGTAACATACGTTTGAAAGATAGAACAAGAAGGAGAAAAACAGTCTTACATATTGTCTTGTATTAAAATCAAATATATTCATAATAAATAATTTTCTACATATATTGTCTTCATTAACAGAAGCTAATAGAACAAAGATTTTTCTTACTAAACATACGGAGTTCGTGTTATACCAACACGATCGATAATGTCGAAACATATGATCCTAAGCCATGCAGTTGCCCTGTTAAAATTGTTATCAAAAAGAAGAAACTTGAATACGATATGTGCCGTTTACAGTGGTATTTTCATACCAAACAACGATTGTAGCTCAACTTTACAGTGTTACACCTCACTGACTACAAGATCTAATCTACGGACTATTACTATTGAATTTATTCGTCCTTCATCGGTGAGATTAGAAAGAAAGATTGTCATGCACGTAAAAAATAATAGGAATAGATTAGTATAGTTTTCTAATGATGATGTTTCTATGCGTATGAAACGAGATACTTCTTATTGATTTGATTAATATCAAATTTCTTTTGCCATTTAAGTGCCTTGATTGTTTGAAAGTATTTCGCTTTCATTCAGACGAATATAATTCAAAATGTTAGATTCTTCAAAACAAAAAGCAAGGCGATACTCATTAATTGTTCTTCGTGACTTATCGAACAGATCGTTATAGAATAATGATTTTTCTTTTTATAATTTGCATGAAAACTCACCCACGCATAAACCCGATTAGCTTAATCCAAACACTCTTATGTTCTTATGAAAAAAAAATTAATTTGTCAGACTTGAGTGTTAAACCAGGTGCATTTTTGAATTACCAATGGCATAAAGTAGATTTCGATGTCATGAATTGGTTTCACATAGTTTTAATATCTGTTCTATGGGCAATAATAGGATTCATTTTGATTTGCCTCCGTTAATATATCGTATCATAGCTAACAAAAAGCAAGATAATATTCGTACGAACTCTAAATATACTGAATAGAAGTCAGTGCTGCTCCCGTTAAAATGTATGCTGAAAGCAACTGGATCGACAGAAGAAGAAAAAACTTAAGTATCGACAAAATTCATACATCATTTTTCATTATGTGTATAAAATGTCAGAAGACATGGTTTGTAATACAGCGCTGAAAACATGAATCAATGTTAAATCTATGTTGTATTTTAGTTTTCAATGATGAAATACTATATTGCGATGCTGTTTGGATCGTGTATATTACTGATAAATTAACTGGCGAGTTTGGTGTGTGATGATGGTTCGATGCTTTACTTTTGCATGTCTTTGACTTCAGATTGAGAGCGCTATGATAATGATCATAATCTTCTTTATCATTTTTCATTCCGGAAAAGGCTGAATTGAATATGAACCCTCGATTGTAGATGAATACGGATAATATGCAAATTTATTTTCACCTTAGACACATTCATGTCAAAGGAATGACATGACCTGGATACTTGCGTAGTTTGAATTAAGTTTGCTCTTGTGAGAATGAATGACGAAACTAGACAAAAATTTGAAAGAGTTGGCCTCCAACGCAGAAATATAAATACAGCAACGATTCCACAGGGGATATAACCCATCTACAGACCTAATGATAATAAGAGTACACTGAATGTTTCCGCTGAAAAGAATGCTTTTTTGTTCTCAGGATATTAGTTTCTAAGTTAACTCGATTTTTGTAGTATATTTTTGTTTAGTGAATAATTCAATAGCGTGATAAAAATGTTAATTTGTTTTTAATTGTAAAACGTCATCTGTAAACGATGGGGAAACTGAGTAAAATGATCATAAATTATCTACAAATACTAACGCGAGCAAATCGTTTTTAAAGTTTCTATGAATCTTACAGAAACATTCTTCTAGGTTTATTGTGGACTTAAGTAGCAAATACTAATTACTTCTGGTGAGCCCGTAATTAGAAACGCGTAGGTTTATTCTTTTAAGCAACAAAAAATATAAATCTTATTTAAGTTCAAGTAGGCGTATAATTCATAGTAATATTTATTCTTATCTGTATCAAATCAAATTTTACACCAGCTAGCTTGATGAATCTATGATAGCTAGATTTTCTAAATATCGATTCTGTCTATGTTATCAATACATTTACTTGTCAAAAATTTTTCTTGTAAATTATTCGCCATTTTATCTTTCGATTCTTAAACATATCTACTTTCCCATATAATCAATTGCATTAAATCAATAAAGTCGATCGACTACATCTTAATGAGAATTTCATCGGATGGCTAATTCGTAGAATATTGATAAGGCTCGTCTACTCTAAAATCATTTAAACACTACGATAATAATCTGAACTTCTTCGTTAATTTAAAGTTTTTGAAAGCAATAGCTTGAACATTGTCTAGATTGTAAGATGAATCATTCTCTATGAGTAATTCAACGAATACTCACCAGCTGTTGCCGAATAAAAAAAACTTCTTTTTCCATCTAACACATTATTGTTAGCCTAAAAACCTTTTAGTGTAAATTTTTCTCTATTGATAATACTGAGAACATAGTGACAAAATATCAAAGAGTCTCTAGAAAATATTGAAAATAATTAATTTAGTTCGTTTTCTATATTCTATTGAATAAAAACCAGTTAGCTGTTTTTGAAAATTTTCAAAAGTTTGAAATAAATCATCGATTCACTAAAAATAGCTCAATAAAATCTAATTGCAGGATTTCATAAATTTTCGAATGAACACCTAAATGAAAATCTCTACAGTTTATTGGTTATCGAAATTCTTTGATGAGAAATTCAATATCGATAGGAGATTGTTAATAGTTTAAATTACAAGAAATCGATACGATGGTTAATTCTGTCTTTGTATTATTTCAAAAGAAGTCTTAAACAAAATTCTTTTCTATTCTCATCTTATCCATAGAAAATAGTTTTTCTTTTCTTTAGTCTAATAGAAATAAATTTGTGGTCTTATGATCTTAAGCACTGTTCTATTAACGACAATCATATTACAATTACCCATATTTATTTGATTAACATATTGATTTTTTATTGATTTTCTATACTGTAAGATTGAATATTTTGAAGACAACAAAAAATAAAAATAAGCTATCTGTCATTTTTAGTAAGTGCATGATGTGCTAAATCGTATTCATATTACACTTACAAGAGACAAAACAATTTCTTTTTGTATTAGATAGATATTTTGACAATAACAAATAGACATATACAAACAAAATTCAAAGTCATAGTGTAGATTAAAATACGGTTGTTTTTAAAGCTGTACAGAAAGAGTGAGAACATGGAGGTACGAACAATATTATCAGAGAAAAAGAAAATCTCATGAGACTCATAATACTTCACAGTATTCAATATTTTCACTGTCAAAGGCAGACCAAGACGAAACAAACGGTAATGAAAACAACAACATTTAACTAAGATAACGAATTTAACAGGCACATTGTGCTTCTTCGGGAGCTAATGGTGCCGGTGGTGGTTGTCGTACAGGAAATATTGATTTATCTATGTAAAGAAAACAAGTCATATAAATAAGTATTCAAGAAATAAGACAATCGAACTTAAATGGATCCTACACTCGAATAGTTAAGAACTATTTTCAGCCTTGTTTATAATCTATAAATCGATTTTATTCTAATAACGACAATAAAATGTATACGAATAATTCTAACAAAAAAACGAATTAGATTTTTTTTGTTTGCTTGTCAACACGATCGTCTATTCATATTGTAGATAATGTATCCCCTACTGGTCGAGTAAAAGCTCTCGATCGACTCTAACATCTATTCGAGAATAATCATTCGAAAAAGAACTATAGGTCCGTTTCTGAAAAAATATAATGAAATAATTAATTTTTTCTTCTTGTTTTTTACTCATGGAAAACAGAGTAAGTAGTATTATCGGTTGTTTTTCTCTCTCGTTGTATCTAATAGAAATCCATTAGTTAAAAACCTTTTATCGGACATATTAACAATAATAAGAGAAGACGTATCAATCCTTTGACTTACCAATCGTTTTCTCCATTCGTAACATAACTTTTTCTAGTAACATTTCAATACTTTCTTTAACATTTTGTGCTGTAAATGCACTTGTTTCAATGTACGGT